TCTGACCCCCCCCCCCCCCCCTCACTTGAGCACTGGGCTGTGGAGGGGGAGAGCGTGGATCGCTGAGAGGTGATTTTTTTTCCCCCAGCCTGGACAGGCTGAGTGACGTCTGCTGACAGCGGGCTTCAGCCCACTCTCAGCTGAAAATGTCTCACAGGAATTCAGAACGAACTGCGCTTTTGTGATCCACAGGAGACGTACAGCCAAAAGAGCTTTGGCTGTACTTCTCCTTTAGTCTAGGTTCACACTTATGCAGGTTGCGTTTGATGCGTTTCCACATTGCAGTTTGCATTGCATTTTTGATGCGTATTGCGGTTTTGTCTTTTTTCATTTTTTTAAATTTTTCTTGTTGCTAGGCAGATTTTAAATTCAAAATGCATCAAAAACGCAATACATGTGTGACGGAGTGACTTTTGGAGGTGGGGGGACCCCTGTCTCCCCATGTCCCACCATTATGTGTAAGCCACCCTGTGCCTGTTAGGGGCATAGGGTGGAATGTCCTAGTATTGTGTATTGGTGTGGGGTTGTCCATTGTTCACTGCCAGGTGCTGCATCCCATTGTTCTATTGTGTCTTGCTGGCCAGCAAACTATTATGGGATTTATGTGTCCTGTATTGTCTACTGCCAGGTGGTTATCCCTTTGTTCTATTGTGTGTCTTGGTTTGGTGGGGGGTGATACCAGCAGCCCTCCCCCCTGATGGGACGGCCTGCTGATGTGTTTCCTGTTCCTGGTTGTATTTTCCCCTCACTGTATATATATCTTGTGTTTGTGTTAAAATAAAGCAGTTGTACTTCCTGTCTTAAGAAGCCTGGTGCTGTCTATTTCCTGCATGGTCAGCGGTGGGGTCCGTGGATGGTGTTCGGACAGGGAAGCGGGAGTCTAATGGAAATACCCTAGCGCAGTCGGGGTCTGGTTCCGTTTAACATGCTTTTCTACAGCGTTCCTCTGAAGTCCAACGTTTTGCGTTCAAAAAAGTCCCTGACCCTTTCCAAAAAACGCACCAGGTGAAAATACGGAGATGTGAAGGTGTACCATAGGAAATCGTGTTAAATACACTGTAGTGCGTTTCTGCAAAACGCTGCAGAAAACACTTAGGTGTGAACCTAGGGCTGAGGAGCAGCAGCAGAGTGATGAGGCATCCTTCTGCTCTCAAAATATTCCTTTCCAGCTCATAGGCACTGCAGCACACCTGACCGGCTTCTCATTCTGGCCCTCCCTCCCCCAGTCTGTGCTGCTACACGAGGCATCAGAGGATGATATTAACTCAAAGTCACGTACTTACACAAGTTGCATTTAAAAGTACATTTAATAAATATTTCATGAAGACATAACTGCGCTAATAAACCTAACTCAGTGTATGTGACAGTGAAATGGCGTTCTAATCCTGAGATCATTCACTATGGCAAAGAAAAGCAGGAGCGGGATTTTATATATTGCGCTGTGGAACGCAGACAAGACGATAGATGAGTAGAATTAGTTGTAGGGGAAGCATCAGATATCCCTGGATAATACATTCACAGCTCTGAGCAAGAAAAGCTATTCAACAGAACCACTTGTTTTTGTTCCCAATGAAGGAGGTTTTTTTTTTATTCTCCACTAAAAACAGCCGTGTGTCGGCATGGTTCCTGGTATGCTTCAATGGGATATGAATATTTAGCATTTAAAAAAAAACTGTGGTCATACAGAAAAATAGACACTTACCTACAATACCTACATACATGCTCACATACCTAGTACAGCCCCCAGGGAGTAATCTATTATATACTTAGAAACTGATGCTTCCCTTGGACCCACCCCGCTTTAGGGCTAGGTGCACAATTCACAGTGGATCCTTCAGGTACTTTTGAAGAGTTTATGTTTGTTGTTTTTTCTTTTTGTGTTTTTTAAGGGAGAATGTCACCAGCACACCGAAGATCACCAATATGGGTCCAAAAGTTTTAATGAACGATCACATAAGTGGTGTATTTAGGTTTTGTGCTGCCCTAAGCAACACAAAAATTGTGCTGCACAACTTCCCCCCCCCCCCCCCCCCCTTCCTGTAGAGAGAGCCTGACGCCAGCCAACACACCTCCCCCCACCCGAGAGAGCCTTCCACTACCACCACCCTCCATACACCGGCCACCGATCACCAGCGTGAGAGAGAAAGACACTCACCTTCACAGATCTAGACATCCCCTGGAATGAGAGTCAGGCTCTGCATACACCATCAAGCAGCCCGCAGCCACTTTCAGATCCCACCTGGTCCCCATTCTGTGTGTGTGTCCCTTCTTCTGGGGAGCGGAGCTGCCCCTCTGAAAAATGCCGCCCTAGGCTAATGCCTTGTTTGCCTTGTGGTAAATACACCCCTGGATCACATAGTTACAGCAAGGCAACGTTTCGGAGTCTCACAGTACCCCTTCATCAGGCATTGCCTTGCTGAAACATTGCCTTGCTGTAACTATGTGATCGTTTATTAAAACCTTTGGACCCATATTGGTGATCCTCAGTGTGCTGGTTACATTCTCCCTTGCTGATTCTGTTCGATTCCAGTCGCTGCAGCACCCACTTATACACACAGCCACTTTTAATGCAGGAACGTGTGCGTTTGGATTGTACACTTGGATTATGTGTGTGTTTTTCAGGCACTTTTAGAAAAAAACATGTGGCCAAGAACATGTAATCCTGCCCCTGAGAAGTGCCTGTATTTCTGTGGCAGGACAAGTGACAAAATTGCTGGGATGTGAATACCCCCCATAGAATAAAATTAAAAAAATCTTAGGCCCTGCTCACATCCCGTGATTTGGGATCATGGGGCGGAATCACCATGATTCTACCCACGATCCCAAATCACGGCAATTATTCTTTAATACCACCCCAAACACGATTCCACTGTGATCGTGGAAAATGCAAGTTTAAAAAAAAAAACATTTCACTCGTGGCCCCAAAAAAGGGCATGAGAACTTTTTGGGTGACAAAAACGCATAGAACAGCCCATGAAGTGAATGGGCTGAGCTATGTGCGACACGTGAAATCGCGTGCAAATCGTTCAACAAAATCGCGAACAGGCAAGCTTGTTCCCGCCACTCGAAAGTGTAATGTATAAGAAAGAAAGAAATATACAAATTACATAAACTGTGTGCAAAAACAATCCATATATCAAACAATATAACATATATACCAATCCACTGGTAAAACATGATGATTATATCAATATAATGCAGAAAGTCCAAACAATAAAGTACGTGTCAAATAACGAATAGTGTCCCAATTGTGCAGAGAGAAAAAGAAATCTCCAGCTTCTTCTTCCCAGTAACACCAACAATGTGCACTCCTCCACCCATATGCAATCACCAGAGGCTAAATGGTAACCGCATAAAACATAATCGCCGTGTTCATTTCTGCGTCTCAATTCCTGGTCATCGTTTTCGAAATCCTAGATGAGAAGAGCCCAGACAGAGGAGCCCACTCCATGCGACAAGGGGTTAATCCGACAGCAAGCAAGGCTTGTATCAGAGTTTGTTGTTTGAAAAAATATTATTTATTCATGGCAACAATTTGCAATTCATAAAAAATAATAGCGACACACAGTGCTCAGTAACCACAACACACACGTGAACATACAGACAAATTAAGAACAATGTGGAAATTGAAGACGTCTGGATGTCATATATACTGTATGGATGTATCCCCTGCAGAGCGCTAATCACAAGAGTATATGTACAGTATGTGAATCAACTAGTAGTTGTGAGATCAGCACTGCAGGGTCTACATATGTACATGCCCCAGGGCACCGAATGTCATATATACTGTATGTATGTATCCCCTGCAGAGCGCTAATCACAAGAGTATATGTATGTGAATCAACTAGTAGTTGTGAGATCAGCACTGCAGGGTCTACATATGAACATGCCCCAGGGCACCGGATGTGGCATATATACTGTATGTATGTATCCCCTGCAGAGCGCTAATCACAAGAGTATATGTATGTGAATCAATTAGTAGTTGTGAGATCAGCACTGCAGGGTCTACATACATACATGCCCCAGGGCACCGGACGTCATATATACTGTATGTATGTATCCCTGCAGAGCGCTAATCACAAGAGTATATGTATGTGAATCAACTAGTAGTTGTGAGATCAGCACTGCAGGGTCTACATATGTACATGCCCCAGGGCACCGGACGTCATATATACTGTATGTATGTATCCCCTGCAGAGCGCTAATCACAAGAGTATATGTATGTGAATCAACTAGTAGTTGTGAGATCAGCACTGCAGGGTCTACATACATACATGCCCCAGGGCACATTGGCAATAGACGGTTCAGTACTGATGTTACTCTAGGAGGGAAGTTAGTCACTAGATGGTAGTATGACACCGGGACTATTCAGGGACAAACCCAAATTCACCAACCACAGTCTCAGAATGAAAAACGGGTGGGATCAAAATATAAGCTATAAACTGAATAGGTGTATAAATGTGCATAATAAATGCAAATTGGTTGTCCCAATCCAGGTAATTCAAAAAATTCAAAAAATAAGTCGGTATATGACAAGTGGGTATGTGCACATAATTACCCCGACATGGCTAATTGAAAGAGAACAGTAGACGATGGGATAGCGGATGGCCCATATAGTATATCAGTGGATATCCAAAATTAAGCGATAAACGGCACAGAACCTCTGCCTCAATCTCCTCACGCCAAGCTGTGATGGCGATGGACCATGTGGATGGAGAAATGACAGGCAATTTGCAGCTCTGATATTGTACTGCACTGCAGCAGACCCTGGCCAAACAAGACAACATACTGGAGATGGCAGTGGAGCAGTAAGATTGTATCCTATTGCCCTGATTAAACAGTGGGACTATCATCGATCACTATCAACACTGCACAGACCTACTCATTACCGGCCAGGTGGACTATGATTGTTTCAGCTCTTTGGGATATACCACATCATCGGTGAGCTTGAAAACCTTACATTCTTTCTTCTTTCTCTTCCAGTCTCCCCAGGTGGAAAGATGACTGCCAACAAGGAATGCACCTTCATCACCATCAAGCCAGATGGTGTCCAGAGAGGCCTCATCGGAGATATCATCAAACGCTTCAAGCAGAAGGGCTTCCGGTTAGTGGCCATGAAGTTTATTCAGGCCAGCAAAGAACACCTTCAGCAGCACCATATTGACCTGAAGGACTGTTCCTTCTTCAATGGACTGGTGGAGTACATGGGCTCTAGCCCTGTGGTAGCCATGGTCTGGCAGGGAATGAATGTGGTGAAGATTGACTGTGTCATGCTTGGTGAGACCAACCCAGTTGACTCCAAACCTAGCACCATCAGGGGAGACTTCTGCATACAGGTTGAAAGAAACATCTGTCATAGAAGTGACTCCGTGGAAAGTGCCAAGAAAGAGATTGCCTTGCGGTTCAAAGATGATGAACTGGTTGAATACAGCAACTTTGCATAACATTGGCTGCACGAGAACTCAGCTGACCTCCGCTGGTCTCCCAGTTGTCCATTAACTGCTTTCCAAAGTATTAATAACCAGCACTTGCCTCTCTACCTTTGTCATGTACTGGCAGTTCAGAGCACATTTATTCCAATAAATCCTTAAAACTGGAAAAGTAAAAAAAAAAACTTTAATTCTGCCATGGGCCTTGTTCCACCATTGGATGGACATTGACTTGGAGGTTCTGTGCTAGCGGATGGCCCATTTTGGATATCCACTGATATACTACAGTATATGGGCCATCCGCTATCCCAGTGTCTGCTGTTCTGCTTCAATTAGCCATATTGATCGTGATACTCCCACGTATATACTCGAGTATACTCGAGTTATAGCCCCGAGTTTTTCAGCACATTTTTTGTGCTGAAAAACGGCCCCCTCGGCTTATACTTCGAGTCAACGTCTACCGGGGGGCGCGAGGCTCCGTCAAGGGGGGCGCGTACAGGGGTGGGCACAGAGTGCAGACTGCAGTCTGCTTACCTGCTCCCACGATGATCCATCCAGGAAGCGCTGCTCCTTCCGTCACTCCGGCCACTCCCTCACTCCTGCCGCTCGGCTCCGCCTCCTGTCACCGGTGATTGGCCGCCAGAACTGTAGCTCAGGAAAGGTACACAGGCGGCCAATCACAGGCGAGGAGGCGGAGCCGAGCGGACCCGCGAAAATCGAGTGAGGGAAAAGGTAAGTGTGCAGTGCAGAGGTGCTGCTGCAACCACATATGCTGGCTGCTGCAGCACCATACTTGCAACAGGGGTCAGCAAGTGTCATTGGTGTCAGTGGGAGGAATAGTGCCGCATCATTGGTGTCACTGATACTAATGATGGGGCATTATCCTCCCACTGACACACCAACGATGGGGCACTATTCCTCCCACTGACACCAACGATGGGGCACTATTTCCTCCCACTTGACACCATAACGATGGGGGCACTATTCCTCCTAAACTGATACAACGATGGGGCACTATTAGCCTCCCACTGATAACAATGATGGGGCATTATTCCTCCCACTGACACCAACGATGGGGCACTATACCTCCCAGTGATACCAATGATGGGGCACTATTCCTCCCACTGACACCAATGATGGGGCACTATTCCTCCCACTGACACCAATGATGGGGCACTTATTCCTCCCACTGATACCAATGATGGGGCACTATTCCTCCTACTGACACCAATGATGGGGCACTATTCCTCCCACTGACACCAATGATGGGGCACATTCCTTCCCACTGACACCAATGATGGGGCACTATTCCTCCCACTGACACCAATGATGGGGCACTATTCCTCCCACTGACACCAATGATGGGGCACTATTCCTCCCACTGACACCAATGATGGGGCACTATTCCTCCCACTGACACCAAATGATGGGGCACTATTCCTCCCACTGACACCAATGATGGGGCACTATTCCTCCCACTGATACCAATGATGGGGCACTATTCCTCCCACTGATACCAATGATGGGGCACTATTCCTCCCACTGACACCAATGATGGGCACTATTCCTCCCACTGACACCAATGATGGGGCACTATTCCCCCACTGATACTAATGATGGGGCACTATTCCTCCCACTTTATTTTTTACATTGACTAGTAGGTGCCTCATCATTTCCCACCCTCGGCTTATACTCGAGTCAATAGTTTTTTCCCAGTTTTTTGTGGTAAAATTAGGTACCCTCGGCTTATGTTCGGGTCGGCTTATACTCGAGTATATACGGTATGTGCACATACCCACTTGTCATATACTGACTTATTTTTTTTTTTAATTACCTGGATTGGCACAACCAATTTGCATTTGTTATGCACCATTTATGCACCTATTCAACTTATAGGTTATATTTTGATCCCACCAGTTTTTCATTCTGAGACTGTGGTTGGTGAATTTGGGTTTGTCCCTGAATAGTCCCGATGTCATACTACCATCTAGAGACTAACTTCCCTCCTAGAGTAACATCAGTACTGAAACCATCTATTGATAATGTGCCCTGGGGCATGTATGTATGTAGACCCTGCAGTGCTGATCTCACAACTACTAGTTGATTCACATACATATACTCTTGTGATTAGCGCTCTGCAGGGGATACATACATACAGTATATATGATAATCCGGTGCCCTGGGACATGTATGTATGTAGACCCTGCAGTGCTGATCTCACAACTACTAGTTGATTCACATACCTATACTCTTGTGATTAGCGCTCTGCAGGGGATACATACATACAGTATATATGACGTCCGGACGTCTTCAATTTCCACATTGTTCTTAATTTGTCTGTATGTTCACGTGTGTTTTGTGGCTACTGAGCACTGTGTGCCGCTATTATTTTTATGAATTGCAAATTGTTGCTATGAATAAATAATATGTTTTTAAAACCACAAACTCTGATACAAGCCTTGCTTGCTGTAGTATTAAGCCCTTGTCGCATGGAGTGGGCTTTACCCACTGTATGCGACTGTTTTGTATTCTGTCTGTTTATGGCGTAGACAGCAACACTAATATAGTGATAAGGCAATCAGTTCTTTCAATAGTCCCTCTTTTTTCTTCAGTACAGTTCAATGTCACACTTAACACTACAGCAGGTTGTGAACACAGTGTGGCAGAGGCTGCGAATTGGAGAGTATGTCCATTCTGCATCTATGGAGGGGTGTGGTATGGCATGTGACGCACCCTGCCAAGCAACTGATCCCCTATCTTAGGGTTTGCTGAGAAATGGAACTGGTCCTAGGGACCTGGCCTGGAACCACGGTGTGCGAGGCCTCATGATGTTTGTGCAGTGGCTCTTGCCATTGCCTACAAGCTGGAGCTGGACAATCGTGTGAGGAAGAGCTGGAGGAGAGAATCAGCACTCAATGCTGTTTCCCTCAAAAATGTCTCTGTATTCGGTGCCAGGACCGGTGTCACTGGCATGTGTAAGAACATTATCCTTCCATACATGGGATCAGTGAAGAACTTTGGCCACCGATGAAGAGGCCACGCTGAACCCACAAGTGACAGTACATTATTAAAGTGGAACTTTAGGTAAAAAAAAAAAAGGTGAACAGGCAGGAATTTTAATGTAGAAGAGACATGCTTTGTCTATTCTGCATTAAAGTTACTTACCCGCATATCTGCCCCTGTACAGTGAGCCGCGCATGCGAAGCTCACTGTACAAATTCAGCAATGTCGACTGAACTCCCATGCATGTGTAGGAGTGACATCATCCCTGCCCAGCGATTGAGACCCGGAATCTGGCACCCAAAGATGTCAGCGGCCAGGTGGGGAGCAGCAGAACACCGCACCACTGGAGCCAAGGTGAGTATAGTTCTGCTTTAACAGCATGCAGTTCCCACATGCCAACATGTATCTAAGATCCATGGTAGCGGATATTTTTTAAGGAGGGTTAGGGGGAGGCACTGTCACAATTTGTACAGCAACACCTTATTTTCTATGATGCAGAAAAGGGGTGTCAAACTTAATTTCATCCCAGGCCGCATCAGCACAATGGTTACCTACAAAGTGCTGGTTGTAGCTGTAAGATTCTCCCACTGATTGCGCTTACATCAAATGTCAAGAGCCCCTCCCCCCCAACCATAAGGAGTCGAGTCCCCCACCCTCCCTTACATCAAAGTGCTACCCCCCTGTGACGATCACGGCGTCAGACCCCAGCCCTTCTCACCAAACTCATGACCGAAGGACTAGCCAATCTAAAACTATGCTGTCACGTGTAACAATGCCACACCCAGCTGCACCCTGCACAAAAATTTTCCAGCTAATGGACCACAATCGATGTACCTGCAGCCTGAGAGCGATTGTTACTGGGTCAGGTTAATTACGCAATTAACCCTTCACACTGCCACCACCTCCTTTTTGTGCAGAGAAAGAGGAAACTGCAATATCAGCAAAAACACTATGATGATTGAATAATTGTCTGTATACCACTGTCACCGCAGGCAGAGATATACAGTCAGGTCCATAAATATTGGAACATTGACACAATTCTAAAATTTTTGGCTCTATACACCACCACAATGGATTTGAAATGAAATGAACAAGATGTGCTTTAATTGCAGACTGTCAGCTTTAATTTGAGGGTATTTACATCCAAATCAGGTGAACGGTGTAGTAGGAATTACAACAGTTTGCATATGTGCCTCCCACTTGTTAAGGGACCAAAAGTAATGGGACAGAATAATAATCATAAATCAAACTTTCACTTTTTAATACTTGGTTGCAAATCCTTTGCAGTCAATTACAGCCTGAAGTCTGGAACGCATAGACATCACCAGACGCTGGGTTTCATCCCTGGTGATGCTCTGCCAGGCCTCTACTGCAACTGTCTTCAGTTCCTGCTTGTTCTTCGGGCATTTTCCCTTCAGTTTTGTCTTCAGCAAGTGAAATGCATGCTCAATCGGATTCAGGCCAGGTGATTGAGTTGGCCATTGCATAACATTCCACTTCTTTCCCTTAAAAAACTCTTTGGTTGCTTTTGCAGTCTGCTTTGGGTCATTGTCCATCTGCACTGTGAAGTGGCGTCCAATGAGTTCTGAAGCATTTGGCTGAATATGAGCAGATAATATTGCCCGAAACACTTCAGAATTCATCCTGCTGCTTTTGTCAGCAGTCACATCATCAATAAATACAAGAGAACCAGTTCCATTGGCAGCCATACATGCCCACGCCATGACACTACCACCACCATGCTTCACTGATGAGGTGGTATGCTTAGGATCATGAGCAGTTCCTTTCCTTCTCCATACTCTTCTCTTCCCATCACTCTGGTACAAGTTGATCTTGGTCTCATCTGTCCATAGGATGTTGTTCCAGAACTGTGAAGGCTTTTTTACATGTCGTTTGGCAAACTCTAATCTGGCCTTCCTGTTTTTGAGGCTCACCAATGGTTTACATCTTGTGGTGAACCCTCTGTATTCACTCTGGTGAAGTCTTCTCCTGATTGTTGACTTTGACACACA